TTATATGTATATAAAGAATAAGCCTACTTTATGTAGGAATTTTTGATAGTTTTTCTAATGACTAGTCGACAACTTAGATATAAGTTCAGTCGCTAGTGCCGGAAGTAACCTTCTATCAAAAGTTCCTCTATCTATTGCGCTCTTAAAAATATTCTTTTTTTCTCAATCTGTCAAGATATGATTTATGCAATTTTTTTTAAGATAAAAAAATAATGGTTTGTTCATGACCATATTCGTAATTGTTTTACCTGTGGAAAATATGTTGCTTCCCTTTTTTTTTGTATTCAAAAATTGCTAGACATTCAAAAAATCTACGAAACTTATAATTTTCAAAAGAATTTTTGTATGATATGGAGCGCACTGTTGCTGGTGTATCTTATGTAGAGTTAGATTAAATTCGTAAGTTAGAAATTTGTTTCTTTGTATATAAAATTACATATCCTTCATAGACAATGTGCTCGATGTAAAGAAAGATCTGCAAGGTCAAAGAACATTGTAGAATCGTCCGCGAAGAAAAGAAAATAAACAACGGGAAATTATAGGATATAGCAAGAATGAAAGGTGTATGTACATCGTGTGTATGTGTCTGGTATGAATGTGTGTTGTATCTCATGAATGAGACAAAATAAAGTGTAATATGTACACCGCAATCATACATTAACCCACCTTATTGCTGAAAAAATAAAAAAGGAAGCGCGGTATATTAAAACTTATAAATATATACATATATATTGTAAATGTATATTGTAAATGTATCGATGAGACAGATTAAAGCACAGTTTGTTACAAACCTGTGTTCTATTTTTGAATATAATAGTTTATCTATTTCTTTATTTAATTTTTGTTATAATTATTTTATAAAGATATATATTTAAATTATAACAGACAATATTTCTATTATAAAAAATTTATAATTTAAGAAATTGATAAATTATTAACATGTAATGATATCTTCTTATTTAATATATTTATATATCATTCTACAAAAAAGGATAAAATATTTTGTAACATTTGACACATTTTGTGTTGCTCTTTACAATTTAAATTATATTGACTAACGGTAATGTTTAATTTAATTACAATTCCTCTCGTTTAAATAGCGTTGCTGTCTAATTTCGTTCCAAATCGATAATGTCGCATGTGATATTTAATTACAATTCTTCTTAGCAATTAACCGCAGTAGCGCCATTATCTAATTCCATTTTGAATCCATTTTGAATCGATAATGATGCATGTAACATGAAAATGCTAAAAAAAGCAGATGGCCCAAAGGCAAATTCTTAGAGCATGCATTGCATGTTACGTCTATTCTGTATTTCTTTTATGATCTATACTGTATTTTATCTGTATATAATATATTGTATAGTATCTTTCTACTGCAAATTAATAAATATAGTGGTATCTAATTCGTTCGATCATTTTAATAAAATTTTCAATTCAGTGAAAGTGTTAATTTTAATAAGAATTTGATAATCTGACTAATATTGCTGTAAATATTATTATATATATATTGTTATCGAAATCTATAATAATTCCTTATTGATTAACATTACATAGAAAATGTGCATTTAGAAATATTAGAAAAAAATTAATTGCAATTTGGAAAAGTTTTTGGAACTAAATCATACCAAATTTATAATATATAATCATAGTAATTAATATAAATTAATATAAAAATATAATTAATATAAAAAATTTAATATCTATAAGTTTCTATTCAATGATATCTATATTTTATGATTAAGATAAAAAAAATTGCACATTCAGCAAGTGGGATTCGCATTTTTAATAAAAGGTAGTTCAATAAAGTAGTTCTGAACAACGTTTAGACTATTTATGAGATAATGTAAAAAATTTTTGTTATAAATATATTATATGTACAAAATCTTAAAACTTAAAAACTTAATTCTATTTATTTTATTATTAATGTAATAAATGTAATTTTTTATTACTTTTAAATATATGAAATAGTTTTAAAATGGTGTTAATTAATAATAATTGATATTAATTAATAATATTAATTAAGTAATTTTATTTACCTAAAGAATATAAAAATTAAAATAATTTTTTAAAAATATATATTATTTGCAGGTGGTAATTTGTACTTATTTTTAATTTGTGACAAAATTCCAAAATGTTTGAAAATATAAATAACAGATTGCTACCAATAAAAGCACATTATTTTTTATTTAATGCAGGTAATATTATATTAATTAATTTTATTAAAATTTAAATATTGAATTTTGTAAAATGTGCAAAATTATTATATTTTTCATCTTTTAGCTACTGGACCAATAGTACCATTCTTACCAACAATAGCAAAACAATTAGGATTTTCTGGCTTTTTAGTAGGCACAATATATACAATATTACCAATTTCTGGTTTAATAGCAAAACCTTTATTTGGAGCATTGGCTGACAAATTTAAAATTCATAAAATATTATTTTTAATATTTCAAGTTATAGTTGCGATAGCTCTGTTCACAATATATTTTATACCTGAAATATACAATAAAGCAAATGTTTATCTTACTTGTAATGGTGAAGCAACTTTAGAAATGTGTTCAAAACATGGATTTTCTGATAAAATTATACAAGATGTAATAACAGAGTTTCACTTAAATGAATCATGTCAGGTATGATATTTTTATAATTTATAAACATTATTACATTTATAAACATTATTCTATATAATATATTTTAATCTTTTAATACATTATTATATTAATATTATTTTATATGATGGTATTTTTTTAGGTATCTTGTAAAGCCACAAAAGAAATTTATTTAGAAATCTGTTCATATTGGAAAGCATCTCATTTTTGTGAATTAGAAAATTCAAGTACCATTTTGGATACAGATACATTTAATTTTACTTTAACATTTGATATATTTCATGATTTCTATGTAAGAATTTTGCAAATAATTGCTTATAATAGTTTATTTATATTATTTATTTAAATATTTAAATTCTCTATTTTATAGATAAATAATTGTATGTATATACGTATTTCTACTGCTAAATTCTCAGATGGTGCAATATACAAACCAGCTTGTAAACATCATGTGAGAACATCATGTATAGCTACATGTTATAATAACCCAACCTTTAATCAACTATTGTATGAAATTGATGTTTCTGAGAATTCTATACAAAATTCAACATACCAATTTTATTCATTTTTGTGGGCAACTGTAATAAGTTGGATTGGAATGGCAGTTATAGTTAGCATAACTGATGCTATATGTTTTAATCTTCTTGGTTAGTAGCATATATGTTGTTTATTATTAAATATTTAATATTTTTTTTATAATTATATATATTATAGGAAATGAAAGAAGAAATGAGTATGGAAAACAAAAAATGTGGGGTAGTATTGGTTTTGGTATTTTTGGAATAAGCGCAGGATATCTTGTAGATATATTTAGTGCAGGAAAGCTTCAAAAAGATTATACTTGTATATTTTATATTATGTTGATTATTATGATTTTTGATATTATTGTATCTACAACTTTAAGAAAGGTACAGTTTTTTAACATATATGATGTTAAAAATAGGTAGAAATTTAGATAGTACAGAAGTTTAATACTTCTTACTTATCAAAAGAATAAAAAATTGGCAGGTAATGGGAGAAAGCAGTATCATTACAGAAAAGTCCAGAATACTCTGAGGATGAACCTTCAATATTATTGGAACTATTCACCATCCTTAGGGAAGGCAATATTTTGGCATTTGGATGGTGGTGTATAGGAACTGGAATGTGTACTAGTGTAGTGTGGAATTTTCTATTTTGGTATACTGAAGACCTAGCAAAATCTAATTTTCAAATAACACATCTGAAAACTTTACAAGGCCTTTTGACTGGTGTACAGTGTTTTTTAGGAGAACTACCATTTAATTTCATCTCAGGAAATGTACTACGAAAATTAGGTCATGTGAATGTTATGAGTTTAGTTTTACTGATTTATGCAATTAGGTAAGTAATAAAATTTCTTTTAACTATTTCTAAATTTCTTTCTATTATTTGATTTATAATCATACTATTTTTATAGATTTATGGCATATAGTACTGTATCAAATCCATGGTGGTTTTTAATTATTGAAATACTTCATGGACCCACTGTAGGTCTTTGCTGGCCTACAATGGTATCATATGGTGATAAGATAACGCCATCTGGTACTAAAGCTACTATACAAGGATTTATTGGTGCTATATTTGAAGGAATTGGTTAGTAATATTAAATTAAAAAAAAAAAGATTAACTAATTATAACTTAATTCATAAATAAACAATATTTATACACTGATAATTATTTTCAGGAGTATCAAGTGGTAGTTTTATATGTGGATGGTTAATAGATACATATGGAGGTGTTATAACACTAAGGGCATTTTCAGTAGGTGCATTAATATGGTTACTTTGCTTCTGGCTCATTCAATTGTTATTACGAAAACTTAAGATATCACCGATACATACAGGTCATAATCGTGAGTAACGATTATGTGAATATATAAGTAATATTGACCAAAATAATTTTTGATATTTGATATTTAAAGAAATCTTTTTTAATTGAAGAAAAATATTTTTTCTTTGTTGATTTTTTTCCAGATTTGGCGAATTATGCTAATCCAGATGATGCAATTCTTATGACTATGAGTCGCGAATTACAAACTTATTAATAAAAGAAAAATGGCAGTGTTTTTTGTTATAGAAATTTGATATATTCATTGTTTGTTTACTTAGATATGATTTTAATTGAACAAGTAAAAAACATATTTTTCGTATTATCGGATATTTTAGATCTTAATATATTCGTGACTCATTTTTATAGGCAATTATTCAGTATTATGTATTGTAATTGTAAAAATCTTATTATGCTCTATAATATATACACTTTTTTTAAATTGAAGTAATTTTTTTCTTAATCCATTGAAGAAATTCATATATAAAAATGATGAATAAAATATATCTTAATAAAGGGAAGTAATACAAGGATGTGTTAACAGTTGAGACATATAAAATTGCTCACAAAATATCTCAACCATTTATTCATTGTGAATTCATTTTTTAAGAGTGAAATTATATCATGCTAGTAATTTTATTAATTACCAGTATATTTTCAATTATTTATCGAAATCACGCGATAATAATATTTTTATGAATTCTGCATAATATGTCGATAAAAAGCTACAAATAACTTTCTTCTGATTTAATACCACGTCACTGGATAACAGTTGTACGCGTGCAAAAAAGAATAACTGCATGCGAAAAGATATCAGATTTGCGTAGCGTTAGTCTTGTTTAGGATTTCGATTTTGACGAGATGGTGACGTAGCCTGACTTGGCACGGGTTCGACAATAGCTTGAAGATTAGGAATTTCGCCTGCGGTATCACAGCAGTCATTCATTATTATTCCAGTACTTGAATGAATAAAGGCAAGACTTCCCTCACTAGAAGAAGCTAAACTAGCTGACAATGGAGGTGATCTTTCTTTAGGTGATGCTGAAGATGCTAAATTGTTTACAGTAGTATTACTGCAAGTTGCTGATTCTAGTGTTCCATGAAATTCAAGTATACGGCTTTCAAGAAGAAGATTGATCTCAGCTTGTGCTTTATATTTTGATTCAACGGCTTCCAATTCGGCTTCGTGTTGATCTTTTGTTTCTTGTAAAAGTCGTTGAAGTTCTACAAGTTGCGCTTCTTTTCGCGCTTCTTTGTTTTCTAGTTCACTTAAACGTATTTTCAAAGCTTCTACAAAAGATGTTCGCGATTCCAATTGTCGTCGTAAATCTATTATAATATCATTAATATTTTATATTAGTTATTTATAATATATTTCTAAAATTAATTTTAAATAATTGAAATTTACTTACTAGTTAATTCTTCCGAATATGATTTTTGTATTTGTATTATTTCTTGCTTTGTCATTGGTGAAGGACCACTTGTACTTTCTTGTAATTTTACTTGTGCCTATATATATATATATATAAATGAACTTGATATTATGTAAATATATATAAAATTTTTAAAAATATTACCTCTCTAAGTAGAAGAAATTTTTTCTGTATAATATCAAGATTACGTTCTAATTCTTTACTACGATTTGCAGCTTTTAAAGCTACTCTTAGTTGATGACCTGCATCAAACAGAGAAGCCTCCGTAGAACGAATTTGCCGTTCATAGTCTGCTACTTTTTTTTGTTCATTTTTTAACTCAAGTTCAACAGATTCAAGGCGATCCTTTATTATTTGATTTTGTCGCTGTTCTTCAATACACTGTATGTTATTAATTATATTATTATACAAATTTTTTTTAATAATAAAATCGATAAAATTAATAACATTTTCATTAATTTTACCTTAGTTTGCCAGTGGTGTAATGCATCTTTATATTGATCTTCAGTTTGACAAGCTTCTTTTTTATTACGATCTAATTCAATTTTTAAGCTTTCTACTTCTTTTTCCATTATTTTCAAACGATCAGTCTACGTGATAAGAATTTTGTATTTAACAATAATTAATTAAAAATGATATCAAATCTTATTTCGAATAAATAATTCCAACTGACCAAAGCATAATTATGTTCTTCTAATGCACGTGAATCCCTCAGTTTACCAAGAAGTCTTCGATTACGTTCAGCGTGAACTTCTCTACGCTGCCGTTCAAATTGGAGTTGCATTTGCATAAGCTGTAATAATTGATTTGCACATTCAATGTCAAATATATCTTCTTCTCCTATTTCATCTTCTCCATCATTTTCTTTTTTTGTTTCTGTTTAATTGCATTAGTCCCTTTGAAGAAAAATATTTTATAAAATTTCTATTAACTAAAAATAAAATTATTTTATTGAATTTTATTTTATATTAATCATTTTGTCACCATAATAGTTACCAGAATGCGTACAAGCTTCGACATATCGATCAAGCATTGCAGTTGGTGACAATCTAAGTTCTGTATCTTGAGATGAATGCTTTTGTAAATTCATTTCATTTTTTTGATCCAGAATTCCCAACAATAAATATTCATATGGAAGCAAATCGAAAGTTTGTGTTCCCGTTTCTTCTAATTTTTTTGTCGCTATTATTTTCATTATATCTCGTTTATCATCAATAATTGTTTTTGAACTTTGATATCGGGACAAGATTTACTTTTTCTAATCTGTAAATATATATATATTTTATTGAAATGCTTTTTTGCTTTGTAAGAAATATTAAATAATATTGAATATTAAGTGATAAAAAAACCTCACTTTAAAAAGAGAATTCAAATTTAAATGCGTTGAAATTTGACTTGTTTGAGAATACAAACGAAGCTGATAAACTTTTTGAGACAAATCTGCAATAGCATTTTGCATTTTTTCATTATGATATTCTTGTTCACAATATTTTGAACTTTCTAATTTTCCAGTAGTTTGAGAGCTTACAATTTCTAAAACCTGCACAATAGAATGCTGTAGAAACATATATACCAATATTTGTTAATATACAATATTCTTACATACAAAAGTATATAAAATACAGAACCTCTTGATCTTCTTGCCAAGAATCGTTTTTCCCATTCTGTGTATTTATTTCTGAAAATTTTCCATCTTCATCGACGTTAATAGATGACTTTTGTTGAGCGATAGTTTGTCTATCTGCGATAATTTTACTTAGCTTGTGCGAAAAAAAACCATGTGCATTGTTCGCATTTCCACTTCCAATTAAAGAGCCAGACACAGACGGATTTAAAGGAATCGGTGTGGATGGTCGTGAATTTGAACCTACTGTACCATTACCAAATGCAGTAAGAGCGCGAACTGCGACAGAACCAGTAGGTACTTGCCTCGTTGATAACTTTCGTAAATCCTAAATAATAAAATTATAAACATAATTTCAATTTATTTTTTCTTGGAATTTTTAAACATACCTTAACAGGAGTTGTTTCTGGAGTGGCTTCAACTGCAGCTTCTGGTGGAGATGTACCACTTCTGTTATTATTAGGTGTTGATGGAGTAGATCGTTGTTCATGAGATGTAACTGGAAACTGAGGACTATGTGGTGGCACTGCCATACTTGGTGACCAAAATGTATCATCTTCACCATTACTGATTTCTGATGGTGCTATTCCTCCACTAATGTTTATTGGAGTATACATAGAAGAATAATCTGGAACATATATTAATAGTATAACTACATTCATAATTATATGTATATTTCTTTAATAAAACTTACAAACCTAAAGGTGGCGTAGAACGTGAATTTGTAGTACGAAATACTTCTTCTCGACATTTATCCAATGTAAAACGACCACATTCTGCCATAATATCATGATGCTCCATTTTTTTCCATCTAAAAAATAATAAAATATACAATAATTATGTCTTTTTATAATATAATATAATTTTTTTCTAAATTAGTATTTTTTGTAATAAAAAATACCTAGCAGCAGAAATCTCTGTATCCTTAGAAGCAGTAACAAGTAAAGGATGCATACGCACTGAATCTAACATTGGTCTAATTGTATGAGTAAAAGTAGCTAATTGATCTCGTTGAATGTACTGTTGTTTTAAATATGAAATAAAGTTACAAGGATACATGGCATATAATCTGTGAAATAAACTATATAGTCCAACCTACAAAAAATTTAAAAAATATTACTTATCTTCATTTATAAATAATATTAATCTATAATAAATATACTTACTTGCAAATGTAATAAATATAAATGATTTTTATCTATTGTCCCTGTTATTGTTTTTGAAGTAAAATGCATAGGAGATGAAAATATAGATGATGACTGATGATGATAATAAGAGGCCAATCGACCAAATACTTCAAAAATTTCTGAGAGATATGGCCCTAAAGCAGCAGGTAACATTGGCAATAACATTACTAAGAGTAAAAGTGCACTCATAAGAGATAATGTATCTGCTTCCATCTAAAATTGTAAAATTGATTGTTATTCAACAAATTTATTTATTTGTTAAAATTTAATTCTACCTTAAGTAACTTAAGTAAATCCCGAAATAAAGTATGACTTGTAAGCTTGTATAACCAAGTTGGCTGACGACGGGCAATATGACCTAATAAAGTAAGAGTTTGAATTCTTTGGCTGCTACTTCCAGATTTAGAAAGAGCTTCTGATAAACGATCTAAAAGATGCTTATCATGTGGATCACGAACACCAGCTAATACCTCAACAGCTCTTAAGGAATTCGTGGACAGATAATAATCGAAAAGACCATTTACCAACCAATTATCTTTTGCTGTAAAATTTTAAAAAACCATTAAAAGAAAAACAAAATTATTAAATATTTTTAAATTTATAACCTTACTTACTACTCAAAAAAAGTTCATGAAATACTTTTTAATTTTTTCTACCTCCCCAAGTTTGTTGGATTCCAATAAATTAAACAGATCAACTATGCCTATTGAATTGATATTCATCTTGATAATGCTTATTCCAATATAGACAAATAATATTTATTCTGATCGTTTGATCATATAGTGGAAGTAGAAGTTAATTTATAAAACTTAGTTTTATCCATCTGTCATTTGTTATGTAAAATGAGCTTCATTAGAAGCAAAGAAAATCTTTAAATACCTATAATAGAAAAGAATAATATTCAGAAATTAAATTTATTAGATAAAAAAAAATAATAAAAAAGGTTTTTAATTTCAATTATTACGAACTGTCAATTTTATAAATCGGCACATTAATTTTAATGTTATAATTTTATAATTAAATACACTTTATAAAAATAATTTTTAATTTTTTTAAAATTACAATTTTTTAGAGAATTTAAAGAATTTCATATATATAATTTCTTTATTATTAATGAATATTTCATTTTGTATGTATAAAAAAAATTGTCGGTTCGATTCTATGATACTCATAAAAAGGTCATTCAGAACGATGTCTGCAAAATATTTTTTGTAAATGCTGTTTGAACTTTTAAATAAAACATCAAATGCTAATTTTAATTATCAATACATCGATATGAATTAATGAATGAACTTACCCGAAATTCATCGAGTACTTCAAGCAATTTTATGAGTTCTATGGCGACTAGTACACCATCGCAGATATATCATAGACTGGTATGCATTGATGTTGCTACAATATGAGTAGCGCTATAATCGCTATATCGCTTAACAATTCCATTTACGTTCCAAAAACTATTAAAATTAACACTGATAGCTTCGTTTTTGTTATTTTGTAATAATTATCATAAATAAATCTGCTTATGTTGATATTAGTAAGTAATAATATTACAGAATTTATTTCTTATACATATACATACGCATTTATTTGTATAATGTAAAAATTATTAGTGAAGATTAAAAAATAATTTTAATTAAAGAAATTATAATAATAACGTATTAAAATATTTTTATAAAAAACATTTATTTTTTTAATTCATTTGGAATAATATTCTAAGCGATCTTATAAAATTATTACAATTCATTCTCATATTTTAAATTTTATTTTTGAAACATGTATTTAGCTTTCACTAAATTTAGTTTTCAAACATAAGTAATGTAATCTTCTTTCTATGTTAAACTGGTATATTGAATTGACATCAGGAAAAAATACAAAAATAAAAAGATCTACATTTCTTAAATTAAATAACATAAAAATGTATTATTAGGTATTTAATCTATTCTATATCTTCTTTATGCTTGTAGTTTTTGATTGGCATTATTACATGGCAGCACCGAACTGTGTTGTGTAGAAAATATGGCGTAAAGTGAACGTCGCACATGTCTCTTAGTGATTTCGGTAAGGAGTCAAATATTATACCGAAAATTTCTATATTGATGTACGAAAGAAGTACTTCGATTAGAATTTATGTGATGAAAGAATGTAAATATGATTAACAAATTCAAAAACGAATTATTCAAGTGTAAATCTCATTAAACGTGAGTTCCAACAAGACGAGTATTTGGCCAGCCATTTCATAAGACCTTACGTTTATTCTTGTTAGTGTCTTGTTAGTTAACAAACTAGCGTGACATCAATTGAATATTTCCTTATTCATTAAAATACTAATATTGGTCAAGAATCGTATATATCGTCAGACAACATTTTGTTAATCGTCATGAAACGAAAAGCCTTGTTTTAACTCGATTGTATTAGCACAAGAGCGCATTCCGATCTTCTGAGTATTATGCGCTCGATTTTCGTTCGTCTAATCAATCGTTTTTTCATCGTACAAACATTTTAAACCGTGTTATACGTTTTTCGTCTTTGATTTTTTAACAGACATCGGTAAAAGTGTGAAATATATCATTTGTGCTTGTATTTCGTGGACTCTTGTTTTGTGACTTGTTTACATTATGTGTTGTTTTTATTAAAAAAAGTTCTGTTACAATAACATTTAATACATTATTTGTGCAAGTTAGTAACACTAATTCGAACTTTAAATTTATAATTCCCTATTTACGAATGAATTTTATTGGTTTAAATAAAACGAAAGGATGGTTATTTTGTCTGTGTTTGTAAAAAATGTAAGAAGAAGTGATTTTTATTGCTACTTTCAAAGACTGTAGCAAAACTTGATAAAAGAAGTTATTGGTGAAATGTAATTTAATACAAGATTATACATTATTACAAGATAAAAATGTTAGTTTTTAAAATTTTATGAAATTTTGGATTTGGATAAATGTCAATTATAATTTTATATTGTTTTGAAATCTTTTAGATTGAAATAATAAAGAGGTATACGAGGACTGGACTCTACAATATATATATTGCTAGTAAGTATTAAATATAATTATAGATATTAACTCTGATTATAAATATTAAAAAAGATTTGCATATAAATAATTGTAATAGATTATTTTTTATATTGTATCATTTTAATAAAAAATAGTATTTTGTTTTTAAAAATTTATTCATATATAAAATAATTTATATTTTGTACATTATATTAGGAAATTTAATTTATAAAATTTAATACAAAAATTTATTTTAATTTATTTGGCATTTATACAAAAGAAAATGTAGAATAGGGAAGTGGTAATAGAGTAAGGAAGAAAGAAAAAGAGAGGGGAGAATTCTGATGTCGGAGAAGAGAGCCATTTTCCAAGTCTTCGTTTAGACATTCTAAATATAACTGGAGGCTCTATAGGCTTTCCTTACTGTGTCATACTGTGCAGAGTAGTATCTTACTGTGTTGCGTAGATCTCCCTCATTTTCTACCTTTAGTATGGCATATTGCCAATTTTATTTGTCTGAAAATTACTGATCAGTTGTAACATTATCTCTAAATATTATATTTATTAATTAAAAGTGAATATCCCTTTATTTTCTATACATTTATGGTAATACTTATTAATTTCTTTTTGTTGATTAATAATTTTGATTTATTTTAAAACAATATAAATAATAATTAATTTATTAAATTTTTCAACATTATCATGTAAAAATATAATTTTATTTTCTTAAAAAATAAACAATAATTGATGTTGTGTAAACTAAAATAATATTAAATTACATAATTTTTTAAAAATATATTTAAGATATTAGATTGCATTTTTATCCATAATAAAATAATTATCCATAATAGATTATTTTTAAAAAATAAATTAAATTTCATTCAAATATTGCATATTTCATTTAATTTCTTATTGCAGACCATGGTTTGTAGAGCTGGTCAAATATGTTTCATTCAATGTAGTCTATCTGGATTTAAAGATAAGTTTACCAGTGATAGACTACTATTACATGAATCTACCCGTGGTGAGGAGCTTTATGTTTATATTGAAGAACATTGTCAAATACCACAAGATAGTTTTCAATTATATTTAGTATCAGCTGGAAAATTGGTTAGTAATTTTTGTTTCATTATTATAATTATTTATCAATAGTTTACTAGTATTTTTTTCATATTAAATTAAAATTATTATTACGATTAGATTAATTTATCAGAAGTGAAAGATAAAACAATGTCAGAAATTGGTGTGGATTTTTCTTTTGACCGAGAATCTTCGAGTGAACACAAACCTACATTATTAGTTATGGATCCAACAGATATCTTAATGCAGAAGCAATCATCATATTGTATTATGCGTCATCAGTCTGCATACAATCCTCCTCCACCATCTCCTAATCATTCATCAGTATGGGGTGAAGATAATAATATTGATTTCAAAAGTCTTATTAAATCTGAAACAAGTATGTGATATTTACTTTAATTTTTTTTCAATAATATAGATTAAAATTTTATAATGATATGCTTTATTATTAATTTTTCTTTTTAAGATTATGTTGGTTTAGTCAATCAAGCAATGACATGTTACTTAAATAGTCTATTACAAGCATTATATATGACTCCTGAATTTCGAAATGCATTGTACAATTGGGAATACATAGATGGATCAGAAAAAGACGAAGCCAATAGTATTCCATATCAATTACAGAAGTTATTTTTAAATTTACAGGTTTACATAATTACAGTACAATTACGTAAAATATATTTTATAATTTTATGAATTTATGATTATAAAAACATATTTAAGTACATTTTTTTATATTTACAGACATCAACAAAATCAGCAGTAGAAACTACCTCATTAACAAAAAGTTTTGGTTGGGATTCTACAGAAGCTTGGCAACAACATGATATTCAAGAACTTTGCAGAGTTATGTTTGATGCTTTAGAACAAAAATTTAAAAATACAGAACAAGCTGATTTGATAAATAGACTTTATGAAGGTATGTACATTTGAAGCATTTATGAATATTAGAAAGGAGTTTGTAATTTGATTTTTATATTGTTAGGAAAGATGATTGATTATGTTAAATGTCTTGAATGTGGTACTGAAAAATCTAGAGAAGATACTTTTCTTGATATACCATTACCAGTAAGACCATTTGGTAGCAATGTGGCATATACTAGTGTGGTAAGTTTATATTATATTTTTATTTATAAATAAAATTTATTATATATTAATATTATTTTTAATAGGAAGAAGCTTTAAGAGCATTTGTTCAGTATGAAATTTTGGAAGGAAGTAATCAATATCATTGTGAAAAATGTAATAAAAAATGTGATGCTCATAAAGGATTAAAATTCACAAAATTTCCCTATCTTTTAACCCTTCATCTTAAACGATTTGATTTTGATTTTAAAACTTTTCATAGAATTAAACTTAACGATAAGTAAATATATATGAATTATTTTTCTTGTTAATATTTTTTCATTAATCTTATGCTTTCATGTTAAACTTTTAATTTTAGGGTTACTTTTCCGGATACATTAAATTTAAATTCTTTTATTGCTTCAAATCCAAATCTCCAAGAATCTCCAACTACTGATGAAAATAATAGTTTAGCAAAATGCGATGATAACTCTATAACAGATAGTGGCACATTAGATGATGATTGTCCTCCCTGTGAAAACAGTCTTCCTAATAGTAATCATTCAACAAATCATGATCAA